TTGGGGTAGTGGTTAATGCATCAGGCTAGAAAACGGGAGACCACTGTTCGTAGTCCCATCTTGGCAAAAAGGCAGGTGGGTGACCTTGGACCAGTCATTTCCTCTCAGCCCTAGGAAGGAGGCAGTGGCAAATCCCTTTTGAAATCTTGCCAAGGAAGCTGCAGGTACATGTCCAGGTGGTTACCAGGAGTCAACAATGACTTGAACAACATACACACACACACACACACACACACACACACACACACCATTGTATATATAGTAGGAGGAAAGATGTTTTAGTCTATAGTAGCCAAAAATCCAAAGAAGTCTGATATAAAAATTCCCCTCTCACCCCTATGGGTGGTATGTGATATGTGTCTTCCTCAATCTTGGGGCCTCCTCAAGGCCTGGGAGTTTGAGTGTTTTGCCCAGCTCTGAAGCTACATCTCATGAATGAAGTGAATGAGATGAATAGATTCCTACTGTCAAAAAACCTCATGTTTTCTTTTTACTATATTGTTCAAATTCTTTTCTTTTTATTGACATGGTCAGTTAAATTTGGGGTTTTTCCTTTCATTAACTTAAAATCTGTGTTCTCTCTTTCATCTGAATCTATTGTGTCTCAGCAGAGTATAGTAATTTGCTGCTTTGGCCTGCTTATAGTGAAGTATATACTACTACACACAAGCATTTCAGTCATAGTGCATCAGTGATAAATCAGTAATTATGATCTAATTTTGTGAGGTTAACCAGGTTGATTATTGGGTGTCAGTTTCTTTTTGACACCAGCACTCCTAAATTGATTACAGAAGCAGAACATCTTCAAAATCTTGTACATAATCCAACCCCATTATCTACTGAGGTTATATTGAAATTAACATAGCCTTACTCAACCTGGGGCCCTCTAGTTGTATTGGGATTCCAAGTGCTAGAATTATCAGATTGGATGGCCATGGGAAATTCTTGGAGATCTAAAGCATGGAAAGAAACAAAGCCTAGATTATAATGCCTGTTATCTCTCATCCCATCATTTTCCATGCTAGTTGGAAACCTTCAGTCTAACAAGATATGTAGTCTAACAAAGGCAGCACTTGTTCACTTGTTCACTTGTTCACTTGTTCTAAATATTGGTTGTATACATTAAGGCAGATTTATAAATCCCTTACTTATGCAGAACCTCAAATGGATCAAATTTCAGCATGGGAAAAGAGAGTAATCCCCTCCCCATACAAGGATAGGAATGCCTTGATTTCATCCTAATCTTCTAATTAGGGTCACAGATTTCTCCTGCATTTTTAGAGGAATCTTCCCCATTCTGATGCTCTGCAGATTCTGGGGGAGGAAAACTCAGAGAATGCTGCAGCTTCCATGGCCAATAGCTACACTGTCTATCTTACTTTACAAATTACAGTTCCTAAACATCTGGAGTGTTGTGTGCCCTAGAGCTAGACAAGTGCATAAGCTTGACCAGATGTGATCCTGAATTTGTATACTTTAGGGCTACCAATTCAAGGAAAATTTTGCCAAGCTCTCCATCTCCAGTGGAAATTGAAGTAAAAAAAAAAAAAAATGGAGGATCCCTCCCAGGATCTCAGAAACAAGATCAAGACCACATTTCTTGCAGGGTGAGCTCCCCCACACCTCCAATTATTATACAGCCCTGGAAGAATAGAGCCACAGTTGATTTGCAACTATGGATTTTTACATGCTAGACTCCGCAATTCCAGACTGGGACTGCAGAGCCACCTCTGTGTCCACAGATGAACTACACAACAGTGTGTCTTCTTTAAACTTGAAAAATTACCACATCTCTCTCTATATTTTCTCTATTTCCAACTCTACTTCTACCTCACTCTAAGGAAGACTAGTAAGAATATTGTTGGGGGGAAAAAGAAAATGAACCGAAACACAAATTTCCTGTTTTAGTAATCCTAAAGCCAAGAGAATTCTGAATCTATTTCAGAGTGTTACAAATCACAATTAAATGGTTCCACAGTTTAAAAAATGAATCCTAGTTCAAAATCATTTTGGATACACAAAAATTAATAATTTATTGTTACAAAGTTTCTTTAGAAAGGATGTCATAATTATAGAATGACAAACACCTTTTGAAAACATTTACAGGAAAATAACACATTCAGCTCTTTTGATATCTGATTTTTTCATGAATTTAAGGAAAGAGGAATGAAATACATTTTGTAAAGGCATCCTTCACCTCTTTATTTCTTAGGCTGTATAAAATAGGATTGAGCATGGGAGTGAAGATAGTATAAAAGAGAGAGAGGACTTTATGAAGCCCATTCAGTTTAT